TAACTTTCAAAGGTATCTTTCATTTAGGTACATCCATCGGAGCCTAATTTCCAAAAAGGTTGTCAACGCATCTGCAAACCCTCGGGTGTAGCAGATTTCCATGGGCGTCGGTATTCACTTTACATCGGGTGAACCGCCTGGTCGTTTTGCAACATTTCACATAAAAAAATCTATAATTAAATTAAGGATTAAATTTAACTCTAATAAAACTCAGCAGGATGTTTTGAACTAATTTTGGACCGAAAAATAAAATTTATTTCATCAACCTTTTAAAAACCATGGAAGTTTCTCGGTAATTCTTAAATATAATTTATTATATAGAAGCTCTTTATTTGTATAAACAATAGAATATATTTCTCCATTATCTGAGCGGGCTTTAAAGGCGAAAGAGGTCCGAAGGGACTAACTTGTATTCATAAAGATCTAATATGTCCGATAGTATTAGTTACGGTCTAATTATAACCAAAAGCGTACTATTAAGCCTACGTATTCGTAATAGCAATTACATTCCTTTAAATCATTATTGTTTAACCTTAAATTGTGACTTTTTCGTCCATTAAAACTTAGTGCTATTATCTAATTTTGGGAATTATAAACCTTATCAGCCTGAGGTAATAATTATATTTCTGAACTTATAAGCCTTAGCCAATAAATTATAACGCTATCTTAATTCCCGTTTCAGGATTAAATGTTTTCAAGTATTTTGATAAGAAAAATTTTCTTTCTACAGTTACGCCGTTTGCTTGGATCAGATCATTTACTATGCCTACAATTAACATTGAGTAATAAGACGCAGTCGTTAAACAGTTTCTTACGTTGTTTTTCCCACATGTGTGGGTTGCCCGTAAATCCTTTAATATTTCTTCGTTTCTACTATACGTACTGAAGTTGTTTAGGTCATAAAGCACACTTGCGCTCAGCGGCTAGTTTCATTAACAAGAATATTATTTCTTTACTGCCAAGATCATTAACCTGCTCGGTTTTGTAACGACAATTAGTTTCAGATCAATTATTGCTATTAAATAATCAAAATACATAATATTTAATTTTGATTATAGAGTTATGTGCGCTCAGTGTGGTACCTTTCCGTAAAAGTATAAGACGGACAGAAAAAACTAAAATCATAGATAGTCGAATTCATGAGTAACAGTTTGATAATAACATTATTAATAGTTATGTAATATCCTACCGTATCGTCATTTGAATTTTAAATGGATTAGTTCTGATTCCAATTATACCATCCATAGCTACTTATTTCTGATTAAAAATTGGAAACAAAATAAAAAATTAAAGTATTTACTAACAGCGGTTAAACTATTTATAAAAACTGTTTGCCGGGTTAAATAAATCAAATGGTGAAGCGAACGTACTTTTTAGAGCTGTCGTCGGTAGAAGTTAGTTATTGAAAAATGATCGCAATTGAGCTTGACCTCTTGCAAGTGATCTTAGGATTTTTCGAGTACTAACCTAATTTATTACAATTTTAAAGTGAATAGCGTAAGCGAATTAGTGGTTTTATTTCAATTTTATTTATACCCGACGGTTCATCTAAATGCTGGTGAACACGGTAAGTTAACAAATATTCATCGAAACTGTGAACTGTGATACTTAAAAGTACAATATGTTTTAGGCAGCCTTCATTACCTCAACTTCTTTTGTATTTCGTAGTGATTTTACATAAGTTGTTTCTCTTTAATTAATTTGCTTGTAGAGCTTTTGCAGACTTGTAATTTTTAAATTGTTAAACCTTTTATAACTTTTTGAAAACGTATCAATTCGATCCTAATAATTATTGGTTTATTCCATATCATTTTTTGAAGCTTTAGGAGTTGTCTACCAACGCATTTAATAATGCGAAATAGTGATGTAATATTTGTGTATCCACTTACCTTAAGTCCAGGATTTTGATGAAAATGGAAGTGCAGATAGCTCAGTGACATAAATAATTAAACAAAACTATATAATATCATTGAAATAGCATTTGTAGTTAGGAAGAATTAACGAAATATTTCTAATGTAGAAGATTTTAAAGACAGTTATACACACTTGTATACGAGTCTTTAAAATAGTATATTTAAGTCGACACTCATACTTTCTGTCTAAAATCATTTTTATTATTCTACATTTCAAGCATAAAGAATAATAAACTGGTGTTAAAATTATTGCATAAGTTAATGTAGCATCTGAAAAGTATCGCCTGTACTTTTTTGAATTCAAGGGAAGTAGCACTAAGTAAACATGTTAAGCTCTACCTAATTATTATTATATGCTTGCTAAAAATTATTTTATATTATTTTATATCTTTAAAATTACATATTTTTGTCATGTGTATCTTAACATTAGTTTTATGCCGTCAAATTATTCACTTCAAACTTGTTTGTGAATTCGAATTACTCGTTTACGGATCGAACTAGTTTACGGATTTTATCGCGTTTTTATTTTAATTTTGAAATTCAGGAAATCTCGAACCCTTCAGAGTTCATCGTCACTGGACAGACTAAGTTGTTACAAGTCTTGATGTCAAAGTTAATCCTGGTTACCGTCAATTATTTTGCTGTTTATTTGTATTCCGATCTACGGAAAAGGAGCTTATGGTATCTTGAGGTCTAGTAGTGTTGATGTGCGTGGATTAAACGTGACGTAAGCTCAAGAAATCAATATCAAATATTTTTTTTAAAGATCAGAATGTAGCACATTTGTTGCATCCTAGAGGAAACTTGAAAAACGTTGATATTTCTGTCGAAATCTCTTCAGAACAAAGGATTTAATTATAAAACATAATAAATAAGAAGTTACGGTAAAACGAGGTTCGTTCTTTTACTCTCCATTTAAAAATGTTTAACTAAGTGCATTATATTCTAGAATATTAAATCTGCCATTTATTAATAGAAAAATTAATTCAAACGGGCATGACACTGATTCTATTTGTAAAGCTGATATTCTATCAAATAGAAGTACCGACATTTTACTTTTAAATAGACTAGTTCTTGACTTGCATCCCACCAGTAAAAGATGTGATTTTAAATAATGACGATAGATAAACGAGGTGTTTAACCATCTAGCTTGGTAAAGGTCTATTCACTATTATCTTGCAAACAATAACACTAACTGCTGGAATAGTAAAACTACGACCGAGAAAGTGATACCTTCCGTTCGTTCGATCGCGGAGAATGTTACCACAAGGTAACATTCCGCGATCGAACATTCATGAAATTCCTCACTTGTCCTTGTGGAGAAGTGAACCATTTTTTGAGGCTACCTCACTAATATGACCATGTAGATATACAAAAATGGATAGCGCTAGTTATCTTTTAGGGTTAAAGGGCTAAAATCTCATCATAATGCCGCAGATAAAATTATATTTTTGTGTTCTTTTAATACAGCATTTGCTAAGATAATGTATATTCATACATAAAATAAAGGTATCACATTTTTTTTATAAAGTCAGTGTCTTTTTGTGATAAATAAAACTTAGTATAATTATTTGAAATGAACCCAATGGGTTTTACCATGCACACATCAGTAGCCGGGCCACGTAGCAGCCTCGGCTGTTGCACGAATGGGCAGGCCCATCCGGGTAAGTACCACGACCTCACAGAAGACCAGCGTAAAGTGGAAGTATGACAAATACTTTCGCGTTTCGTCTGGTGAGTGAGGTAGCCGGAGCCGAATTTTCAAAAGATTGTCAACGCATCTGTAACCCTCGGGTGTAACAGATGTCCATGGGCGGCGGTATTCACTTAACATCAGGTGAACCGTCTGCTCGTTTGACCTCTTACCTCTAAAACTTTATTTATTTAGATATTAACTTTATTTATGTCAAGTGCGGGTGCCGGCAAAAATGAAATTGTTGGTTGCTATTTTCAGTACTGACTCATAACGCGACCAAAAGGTAAGGAAAACATCGTGAGGCAACCTGCATTATTTTCGATAAAATAATAATAAAACTATTTTGAAGATATGAATTCTGTCAATTGGTGGTATCGCGTGGTGGAGTATGTCCTAATATAGGGTATATTGAACTGAACAGAGAAGACCCCAGCAGTGGAATATTTTTTTGTCTTTTTTATGTGAAAAAGTAGCTAACATGCTAGTGGTTCACCTGATGTTAAGTGACAGTACTTGGACGGACCTGCCCATTCGTGCAACACTGTTGGCCCTGCCACAGTTTTTATATATAGTCTGTTACCTTACTTTACTTCGTTTTATGTTATAAAGAGGTAAAAATATTCTTTTTTGATTTAAAGGGATATTTAATGGGCTTTAGAGTACTGACGTACCAACCTTGGATATTTTCTCTGAAAAGTTAAAAAAAAAGATTTTATGTATTAAAATAAATATTGCTAAAATTGCCTTGAAATATATTAAATTGCCAGTTAATACGTTATTATGAAAATGCCTATTCAATTCACAGTTCTGGAAAAGTAGGACGGAAGCAGTAAATATAATTTGTATTCATAACAAAAATGTTTTCACCATTGTAAACACTGTTAAAGGTATGTTTGCATACAATATATAGGTGATTATCAAAAACATAATCACTTACTTGAGGAATATAAATAATAAAATGATAAATATATCATAAAATAAAATATATCATTTTTACACTGGGTATTTGTCCGTAAATTTATGTATGTAAAACGTCCTTATAGCACAGGATAATATTATCCTACAGTAAAATAACAGCCTATACGTGTCCCACTGCTGGGCAAAGGCCTCCTCTGTACAGTGGGTATCAGGGCATAGTCTACCACGCAGCCCCACTAAGGATTTGCGGACTTCATATATCTTCAAAATATGTTTTTTTGTTAGTATTTTGAAAAGATGCAGGTTTCTTCACGATGTTCTCACCGCAGAGCACTTGATAACTGAGCACTTAAAACTAAAATTTCATTGGCGCCTCCAACGGAAATTGAGGAGAAACGCCGAGAATGCGGCCAACTTAGTTTTACTCTATCTACCGGAAGAAAGTATATTTTGTTTTCGTTGCTATTGTGCAGCGCCTGGCGACAGACGCCCAACGGCTGACGATAGAGGCAGCGACGCGCACCGCGAATGGCCGATACACTTGTGAAGTGTCGGCCGACGCGCCTTCCTTCCAGACTGCTCAAGTCCACGCGCACATGTACGTTGTAGGTGAGTATCAATCGCGGATGAATCTAATCATCAGCACCCTTGGTCGCCACAGCGTGTGAATCATGTCGTAAGCGGTTTTGGTCGTATTTTTTACGACTGGCCGCCTGCCGCCCGCCAAAGAACTATGGTATGGGTATTAAACATTAACACTCTTTAAACATCAATATTTACCGAGTTATTAAATTTTCCAAAACAAAGCATTTTAGAACACCCTTATGTATAAAACCGTAACTTAAATTTCATTTGTAAAGGTCATAAAGCATATAAATGGGTTGAATGAATTTAAAAGAGACAAAACATACTGTTAGAAGGAAAGGCTTGTAATGCGACGCTGTGGCAACGAATGAAAAAGTCTCTGAATGTATGAATCAGTCAATTGTAGTTAGTTGCATAGGATGTTTCTTTTTTACTTAATTAGTTTGTTTGAAAAATATTTTTTTTAAGGGTTTTTTTAACGTATATATTTTCTTATGATTATTGGCAAGTAGCGTTAGACGTGTGTTCATTTTTTGTCGCAGTGGTAACGACGCGCTGTATAATTCTTCGTGTGTACAGAACTCACTGTGAACTCCTTCTAAATGGCTTGACCGAATTTAATGGAATTGTGTGTCTTCAGGCGCTATTGCTAAGAAGATATATCTATATATATATATCTTCTTAGCAATGGCGCCACCGAGTCATCTCGTGCCCAATGGCACGAGATGACTCGGTGGCGCATCAATATGCTGCACTTCAAGCATTATGGAAAGTTGGCTACATATGTAAGAAACATTATTTATACTTTACAAAATTTACAATTATTCAAAGGCTTTTTTATTATAAAAATACCGGTTTTAAATATCAGTTCCAAATCTTTGCCACAATAAATCCAAAATCTTCATAAGGCAGGTTGTTGCATTAAAATAGTAATTGCACTATTCAAAAGCATTCGTTTCTTTTTATTTTATGTAATACATTAAAAAGAAACGAATACTATAAAGGCTATAAAGAAACTCATAAAAGAAACGATGCCACAAAAACCAGATAACCATTTTAAAACCAGATTAAAGCTAAAAATGATATAATTATGTTGTTACTCTACACATTAGCATAGTAAATTTTGTTAGATGCATGATATAGTTAAAAAAAATAAAATTAGTTAAATCTAACATGTAAGCAGGGTGGGCGGAAAATTGAAGCATCTTGAAGATGCATAATCGTAAAGTACGCAGTTCCCATAGTCTATGGTATGTGGCTCACGTGGGTCCATGTGAGTCACTACGGTATCTTTTTACGCAAATAAACGCTCTTTTAACGCTTCCGTGGCTATACATACTGAAAAACTTAATGTATGTACGAAATATTACCTTTTGAAAAAATACATACCAAATCGCGGTGACACGCTAGAAATACCGAGAATTAGACTAGCTAAAACAGGAAATCGTTTCTCGGTGAATGTATTAACTTATATAATAAAATAGTTAACATTTTTTTTCTTAGTATTATTGCACGAAACGACTTTTTTATCTTGATTAATTAGAAACCTTAATGAAGAAAAACAAAACTTTATATCAAACACTAATAAATACATAAAACGAGTAGTATAGTACATGTCATTTATTAATAGACAGAAAAAATTACAACTGAACTGTGGAGTAACGATGACTCTACGGCCATATTTGTACATACATTTTTATAACATATTTGGATCTAGTCTTGGTAATCCATGTATGTCCGGAGGTTCGTCTGTCTTTCTCATCCACGTATAAAATTTATTAAGGACGGAATTCGGTTATATAGTATAAAATAACATAGATAAGGAGGAACAGCGTACACATTTGAATATCCCAAAATATTGGTTGCCTATAATTATTCAACCTCATCGTGTTGATAAATATTTATTTTTCCATACATATTTATATTTTTATTTATAGTGTAGAGAGACAAAGTTTCCATAGGCTCTAACTCAATTTGACGCGGTTGTTAACTTTGTTTGATGACTGCTATGCAATATACACGAGCGGAGGTTTGAAACTTTTTACTACGATAATAGAATACATACGTATGTAATACATACATGAGTATTAAATATATCTTTTTGATAAAAATTCGTCTCAGGCATATTTGTTATACACAATATTTCGGTTAAGTTGACAATATAATAATGTTGTATCATATGTCGAAAACATGAATAAATGAGCTTCTTCGGTTGATGTTTATGTATAAGAAAATATTTTTTTCCATTGTAATTTACTTAGAACATCCGCTATTGCTTGATATTATTTTAACCAGATGAATATTATGTAATCCTATTCACTACTTTTGATATTTCAATATTCTAATTTCGTTGCAAAACTATCGTTAATAGTCCATCAACTTCATGGAAACATTTTGTTTAATATTCATCTTTTTTTTTTTTTTTTATAGACTTGAAGAGAATAACGGGGATTCTCTTAAATTCAAATATAAGTAACAGCCTATACATGTCCCACTGCTGGGCAAAGGCCTCCTCTATACAGAGGGTATCAGGGCATAGTCCACCACGCGGCCCCACTGCGGATTGGTGGACTTCACATATTTTCGAAATATATTTTTTTTGTTATTATTTTGAAAATATGCAGGTTTCCTCACGATGTTTTCCTTCACCGCGGAGCACGTGATAAGTCAGCACTTAAAGTAAAAAACTTCATTGGTGCCGGCACCGGGGATCGAACTCAGGTTGCTCGAGTATATTGAACTAAAGGCGAGCGCCCGGACACTGAGCTATCACGGCTCTATATAATTCAAATATAGCTTTCATCTTTCAAACGTTTTGACGAAGATTTAGACAGACAGATTATATACTGATTTCCTGAATTAATGTGAATACGATAAACTGTTAAAAACTAATTTTAACAAATTTCGATGTTGATTTTAATTCCCGTCGTTTCAAATTTTGCAGGGTCCATGGTCACGGAACAGATTGAGATGGTATGTCACCCAAAATGTCATAGTTAGCCCTGTTTATCGTAAACTTCTAATAATTTATTCATTCCAAACTACGCAGTAGGACCTATAGTACCATGAAGTCGGAGTTATGTGGATTTAATTTTAATAATTATTGGATCCGTAGCTTACAGTAAAGTCCAGCCATCTTCTCTTTTAAAATAAGGATGTCATAGCCTCGCGAATTAGCATTGGATGAACTAGGTGTTCTTTAGCGGGGATTTTGTTATGTAGTGGTTAGAGCGTTCTTACGGTTACAAACTGCAGATGTCTTTTGACAGCAGTGCTTCGCATCAGCTATGTGTAATTTAATATGCGTTTTATACATCTTTTGCTTTGCTGTATTGAAAATATTCATTCAAAAGTTGGTAGGACTTTAACATCTGTTTGGGATCAATTAGCCCAAGCACACCAATAACCCGAAACACTTCGAGATACCGCGTAGATCGTAATAAGTAAATTATTAAAAATAGCCGCGAAGGAATTGACAATTTGGACGACAAGACATCTCAGTTTGTCCCGTGACTATGGATTTAGAAAGAGTTTGAAACGACTGGAATTAAATACAAAATTAAACGCAAATTAATCCTTAAAATGATTTTTATGTAACATTACACATGTTAATTTAATAGATTTACAAATCAAGTTTTTTTTTCGAAAAGTCCAATGTAACGGTACTATAAATGTCCATGGTATACGACGTAGTCAAACTCGAGGATACATTATCCGATATGACTTCATAAAGCGTCATATTGGTACACAATGATTTAACTCTATCGGATTCAGTTAAGATTGAAATGCTATTGGATTTCTCTGAGAAATCGAGCCCATTAATTGTAGACTAACGCAGGTCAGTGAAATGATCTATTATTCAAACAAAATAAGTTCCAAGTGCAGTTCAAAAATTTAGTTACTTTATTTATTAGTTATCTTTATTTATTTATACACCCAATACAGGTATAAATAAGAAGCAAAATAAAATGCACGTTTATGAAGATGTTATTAAAGATTTTTAGTGATTTGCTTAATTGATATTACGTGTATTATTATCACGATGTTTTTGTTTTTCTTAAAACAAAATGCGCTTTCACATCATTATGATTACAGACGCTCGCCTTCTTCATTTCACCTTTGTTTCAATTCCTTTAGCCTTTAACTGGTGACAAGCGGTCTCCCAGGCCGTGTGGCGTGAGAGAGAGAGGACATCATTTTACCGCCTTTCTCTCGCTTCCTTTATTTCAACGCCTGAGTAGCTTCGAATTTGGTTGGAGGGATAGTTGCGTAGTATAGTCCCAAATCGGTAGGTAACTTATGGATATAAAGTTCGGCAGCGTTCTCTCAGATCACTGACGTAAATTTTATAGTAATTTTGCTGTATTGTTTTTTCGTATTTTTATTGGTTATAACTTGAAAGAAAGCGCAGGGGCTCCGGGTTGGGAATGTAGTGCCAAACACTAGAGCTGTTCTCATTGGGCAACATAACAGCTCGTTACCCGAGACAAGGTTGATTGTACACGATGAAAGAGATACTTTTTTTCTGTGGAAGAAAGTAGTGACATCGAGGTGATGATCTCAATGCTCTTAAACATAATTCATAAAAAAATTTGCCAGAAACATGGTATTAAAATACATGGAGCGCCGCATAACACTCACATACCACGCGATACCTATACCAGGGCCGGATTTAGATGTCTGGAGGCCTCGGGGCAACAAATGAGTGGTTTTGTGATTTATGTTAATATTTAATGTAATTATGTTTGTACAAAGTACTGTAGGTAAAGATTAAAACGCGAAAAAATGTGAAAGGAAAGGTTGTTTACCAGTGTTTAGTCTAGTCTGATTTTGAATTTTTTTCGAAGTCTCTGTTGTTGGGGCTCCTCTTTTGTGGAGGCCCCTGGGCTGTAGCCCTCCCCTAAATCCAGCCCTGACCTATACGACTCAACTTTTTTTTGGGTTATGATTAGCCAATCCCAAGCCAAGCCAAGTTTTGTGGTTCAGGTAGCCACCCGAACCACAACACTCCGAGAACAGACCAA